GCAACTGATACAAAATACAGCAGCCAGAGTTTTATTGAAATTGAAGACACAAGAACATATCACAGCAGCATTAATAGAATAAATTTTAGGATTCTTTTATTAGTTTATAAGGCACTACACAACATGACACCTTTCATACTTTTCTGACTGCTTATCAAAATATAATCCAAACCGTGTGCTACGCTCTTCTAGCACTCGACTTTTAGAATTTCACTTTGTAAATCTGATGCGATCTGGCGGCACTTCTTTTAGTCACTATGCTGCAAAATCTTGGAATTGTCTCCCAAATGAATAAATGGCCTTAGCAGAAGCCATCGTGCATATCAAAAACAGTCAAAGCAATAGATTAATATTATTCAACATATCACAGAGATTTAAAGAAAAATATTAGATGTAACCCCATTTGTAATTTTTAACATTTTCAAAAGTAACTGTAATTGAATTACATATTTTTCTTAGTAACTGTAACTAATTACTGTTACTTTTATTTTGTAATTAAATTACGTAACGGCGTTACGTGTAACTAGTTACTCCCCAACACTGCATTTATGTCCTATTATTGATAAATTCCCAGCAGGGAAACCGTTACTATCAGTACAGGCTAAAACACTTAAGGCCCTGTGTGAAGACTTTGATTATGTAGATATTTGGAGGGCTTGCCACCTTGCAGAGAGAGAGTACACTTATTTTTCAAAAGTTCATAGTTGTCACACGAGAATAGACTATCTATTCTCTCCCAAAAATATGTTGGAGCACATAACATCTTGCAAAATCGGAGATATAATAATATCTGACCACGCGGCAGTTTTCACTGAATTTTCCTTTGGAAATCAAAATAATAAAGCCAGTGGTTGGAGATTTCATCCATTTATATTAGCTGATCATAACTTTATTACATATTTTATAGAGGAATTCAACATTTTTATGTCCATCAATTCGGTCTCAACTGAAGATTCATCCTTATTATGGGAAACAACCAAAGCATTTTCTAGAGGCATTATAATAGAGTACACACATAGTAAAAGGCGTAAACAAGCGGAACAAAAAGAGATTTTAGAGTCTAAGCTTAGGGATGCTGAGAGAACATACATTAATAAACCAAGCCCTGTTAAATTAAAGGAAATTACGGCGCTAAGGTCTGCGTTAGACTCTCTTTTAACAAAACAGGCAGAAGTGAAAATTCACTTTGCTAAGCAGAAAATGTATGAACATGGGGATAAAGCTAGGAAATATTTAGCACACCTAACAAAGAAAAAATCCGACAATCTATTATAGACAGTAACGGTAAACACTCTATGGACAGCATATTCATTAACAATACATTTAAAGATTATTTTGAGAATTTCTACAAATCAGAACTAAAAGGGGTCACAACACAAACCACAGAGCTTTTCTTCTCGACACTTAATCTCCCCAGGTTATCTGAAGATCAGTCATTACCCCTTAATGCCCCTATATCTAAAAATGAGGTTCTAGCAGCAATAAAGAGTTTACAATCTAGGAAAGCACCTGGTCCAGATGGACTTAGTTGTGAATTCTATAAGGAATTCAAAGTCTTATTAGTGGATCCATTATTAAATATGTTAATGACTCTTTTAGAAAAGGCCACCTACCACAGTCACTGAGAGAGGCAAATATATCCTTAATTTTGAAAAAAGGAAAACAACCAGAGTACTGTTCGTCATATCACCCCATATCACTGCTAAATGTAGATCTGAAGATCCTTTCAAAAATGTTGGCCACCCGCCTTGAAGGCTTTCTTCCTGTATTAGTAAAGGATGACCAAACCGGCTTTATTGTAGGCCGTAACTCGGTAAATAACATGCGACGTCTTTTGAATGTGATTCAATTTGCTAAACAACAATCAGTAGAAGGTCTTGTGATTTCATTAGATGCGGAAAAGGCGTTTGATCGCATCANATGGCCCTTTTTATTCCATACGTTACATAAATTTGGTCTTGGTGAACAATTTATTAAGTGGGTACAAATATTGTATAATGAGCCCTTTTAGTGCTGTACTCACTAATGGCTGTAGATCCTCTATGTTCAAAATTGAGAAAGGAACAAGGCATGGATTGCCCTCTCTCACCCCTTCTGTTTGCCTTAATAATAGAGCCATTAGCAGAAGCAGTACTGGGAAAATAATAAAATTAATGGTTTTATGGTAGCAAACAAACCACACAAGATTGCTCTATATGCCGACGACATTCTTATATTCATGGTAAATCCTGAAACCTCTACCCCAAATCTCTTAGACACGATTGACAGGTTTGCAGATTTTTCTGGTTATAAAATTAACTACCATAAATCAGTGGCAATGCCTATAGGAAGTTTACAACAAATACCCCAAACATTACCATCATTTCCATTTAGGTGGGCCCCAGAAGGTTTAACATATTTGGGCATCAATGTCACCCCCTCCTATGAACAAATGTATAAAGCCAATTTTATTCCACTTTTTGAACGCATTCGAATGGACCTAGAAAGATGGAACATTCTCCTTATTTCTTGGATGGGTCGATCTCCCTTCTGAAGATGAATATTCTACCGCGAATACTCTACCCTATTCAAATGATTCAGATCAATTTTACACACAAAATTATTAGGAAACTGAATGGCTGGTTTAATTCTTTTATTTGGGCAAACAAAAGAGCATGTATAAAAATTTCAACTTTAATGCTTTCATCCTCGGCAGGTGGTCTTGACCTTCCAGACATTCGAAAATACCAATTAAGCGTACATTTGCACTTTATTTCTGACTGGATACATAAAGGACCCAGTGCAGTTTGGTTTGACATTGAAAGTTCACTCTGTAAAATCCCTCTCAGAAATTAGCTTTTTTTAAAAAACTTAAATCAGTGAAAATGGCCTGCAATAATCCCATCACGGTTTGTACTATCAAAGCATGGCAATCTATAAAACGTTTGGAAGGGAGATCTTGACTCACCTCAACCTTTACCCCATCTGTGATAATTTTGACTTTCCGCCAGGAACTGAAGACCCACAATTTAAAGTCTGGTCACAAAAAGGTCTCACCACATTACATGACTTGTTTGATGGAAATATTTTAATGTCTTTTGACCAACTGACCAATAAATATAATATTCCGCGACAAGATTTTTTCCGCTACTTGCAACTAAGAGACTTTGTGAAAATAGACACTACAATACTCGAAAATCAGGACATTTCAGTTGTGGAAAGACAACTTTTTTCATACAGGGACAATTCCACAAGCTGTTTCTACAAAGTCCTGAAGGATTGTGGCTCTTTAAATACGGGCTTCTTGAAAGAGACTTGGGAAAGGACCCTTGATACACAAATCACAGATGATCAATGGAAGGAAGCTTGGAAAAATGCAATGTCCCTAAGTGTATGTAACAGAGTAAAAGCAATGCAACTGAAAATTCTACATCGAGCTCACATTTCTCCCTCACGGAGGCACAAGTTTAAAGAGGAGTTGTCACCAATGTGTCTGAAATGTAAAACCGAGGAAGGAGACCTGGTTCATTGTTTCTGGCTTTGCAGGGAAATTCAAAAGTTCTGGGCCATGATTGAACAAGAAATTAGTGGAATTTTATCTTTTAATATTGGTTGTGACCCCAAGCATATGCTGCTTGGGATATTCGACGAGATTAATATGGACAAGCATAAAAACACTTTGCAAGTTCCTGACATTTTGTGCAAGAAAATGTATTCTCCTGAACTGGATAACGGACAAAACTCCTACAAAGTCTTTATGGCACAGGGTAATACTTGAATATGTACCACTGGACTACTTAACTTGTGTCCTACATGGCAAAGATGTTTTATTTCATGAGAGGTGGGATCCATTTTTGTTACATATGGGTTTAAACATAACCTCCATAATCATCAGAGGATTGATTTAACAAGGATGCAATATCGCTACTTTAATTAATGCCCCCCCCCCCTTTTTTTTCTTTCTTTTCTTTCTCCCCAGGTTCTGTTCACTTGTTTGTTGTTGTATCTGTTTTGTTTAAAAATTAATAAATACATTATAAAAAAAATTAAAATAAAAAGTCAAAACGAAATAGAAACTAAAACTAATGAAAAATCCAAAACTATTATAACCTTGGTCCATTATCGGTGAATCAAGTCAAGAAGATTTACCAGTCTCTTAGAGTTTTTTGTTAGGATCTGTCAGGTTTTACCCTTTCAAACAAAGCTAGTGTTGTCCCTTTGAAATTCACATAGTTTTTCCCGGATCTTCGCTTGATGTTTTTCCTTACTTTTCTTCCATGTCACTCCAACCTTTTGCCAAGGTCTTTGTTTCTCTTTCCCAGGGATTCCTATAATAGTTTCTTATTCGCTGTTTATCAGTCCTTTTTCTTTCAGATCTCTTGATGCCTCCGTCATTGAATTGTACATGATCGGCCCGTTTACCAAAAAGATTTTAAGTTTTGCCGGCGGTGGTGTTTAGAACTTAATTCCCTTTTCATTCAGAATGCTTCCTTCCGGGATTCCAAAAATCTGATTATTATTTCTACGGGAGTGTGTTTCTAGATCTCACAGTTTCTCTTTTAAATTTTCTTGTACTTGAATGGATTGATTGAGCATTTCTTTCATCTCAGCAATGTTCTCCTCCAAAATTCTCCAACTCGCTTCTCCACTTCGTTGACCTTTTCTGTCGTTGCATTTAGGTCCGTGATAAGGTCATCCAGTTGTTGATTGACTTCTTGTTTACAGTTACTTAATTCCATTTTCACATCTTTTGCGAGAGAATCTTGGAAGGCGGTTAAATCAGATTTAATATTCTTCTGGAAAGCTTTGATGTCTGTAAATATTGCTGCAATGATAGGTGACAGGCTATCAGCTATCCCGTCCGTCTTGGATTTTTCATCTGTTGATTTCTCATTTTTTTCAGGATTTACTGGTTGTTTTGTCCTAGCCTTTTTGTTTTTGTCCCTCCTCCATGTCATTTAAATATGGTTTAGGTTATTATATATGATGTAAAAAGGAGGATTAATACCAGTGTGTATGGAAGCGCTCTTTCTATGCTGCTACATGTGTCGGCGCCTTACCAGAAACCATCCCATGTGTTTCTTAAGCTGCCCTGATTAAGTGAAACTTTGTACACACTGATGATGTCTACAGTTTCTCTCCAATGTGAATCCTCTCATGTGTTTTCAGGGTTCCTGAGCGAGCAAACCTCTTACTGCACTGTGAACACTTGTACGGTTTTTCTCCAGTGTGAACCCTCTGGTGGCGTTTCAATTCTGCAGCTGTAATAAAAGTATTCTCACACTTCAAGCACATAAACGCTTTCTCTCCAGTGTGGATCATCATGTGTCGATTAAGGGATGTTGATCGGCTAAAACTCTTCCCACACTGAAGGCATGTGAATGGTTTCTCTCCAGTGTGGTTCCTCATGTGTATATTAAGGTTTGATGATTGGCTGAAACTCTTCCCACACTGAGTACATGTGAATGGTTTCTCTCCAGTGTGGATCATCATGTGTAGATTAAGGTTTGATGATTGGCTGAAACTCTTCCCACACTGAGTACATGTGAATGGTTTCTCTCCAGTGTGTATCCTCATGTGTAGATTAAGGGATGATGATTGGCTGAAACTCTTCCCACACTGACTGCATGTGAATGGTTTCTCTCCAGTGTGTATCCTCATGTGTAGATTAAGGGATGATGATTGGCTGAAACTCTTCCCACACTGACTGCATGTGAATGGTTTCTCTCCAGTGTGAATCCTCATGTGTTGATTAAGGTTTGCCGAGTTGCTGAAACTCTTCCCACACTGGGTGCATGTGAATAGTTTCTCCCCAGTGTGGATCCTCATGTGTTGATTAAGGTTTGATGATTGGTTGAAATTCTTCCCACACTGAGTGCATGTGAATAGTTTCTCCCTATTGTGGATCCTCATGTGGATCTTTAGTTTGCTTTTGTTTGCCAAACTCTTCCCACACTGATTGCAAGTAAAACAACGCTTGTCTCTCATTTTTAAAATATCATCAGTCTCTAAAGGAGTTTTGTCTTCAATTTTGACATGATGTTCCTCCTCTTTACTCCTCTCATACTCTTTAACTAGGTCTGAAATAATAAAAAAAAAGTTCAGCTTTTAGTAAATCATTAAAACTCTCAGTGAAAAGGAAGTGAAAACTTTAATTTTGATGCACATTAAATGTAAAAACAGCAGATCATATTTAGATTGATCTTGTCATATAAACCTCCTAGTGTCCATTACACATAAACACATTTAAGCAGATACTTATATGATTAATCCCAGAGCATTTTGGTCATATTGATGAGACATAAATTTGAAAGCTGTAAATGGCCAGTTTCTATTTGTATATATTCGTAATCACACAAAACAACATGTTTTTGAAAAACTTGTAAAGCAGATAGGGAATGCTTTTTCATTCTGTGCCTGACTGGTAAACCTGTCAGAAAAAAAAGCAGCTGAATCTCTGAGAATATTTGCCCCACAGACATGAGACATATCTGCATAACATCTGCATAAAGCCTTAAACCTGCACCTTTAGATGACAAATGTTCTCTGGTTTAGTAATCTGCATGTAACGAATGCAATGCAGAATACTAACACTTAACTGTTTCAGATCATCAAACAAATTTAAATATTAGACAAAGATAACATAACTAAATGCATATTGCAGTTTTTAAATGAAAAATTGTATTCTTAAAAGGAAGACAAAACACTGAACTACACAGACTTGTGTGAAAATGCTTTTCCCCATTAAACATAACTTTATTTATCACACCAGGTTCAAGTTCTCTAGCCACACCCAGACTTGATAACTACCACACGTTCTCAATCAAGAAATTACCTAAATAGGACCTGTCTGAAGTAGACCAAAAGAGCCTCAAAAGCTAGACATCTTGCCAAAATCTAAAGACATGTAAACACAAATGAGAAAGAAAATTCTTGTGTCATAAGTAAAAAAAACAAAAAACAAAAAAAAACTGAATCAAATGCAGAAAAACAACAAGGGTTTATTAAGGAGTGAGAACCGGAAAAAGCAAAAATCAAAGTAAACACCCGGTCGGGTGAGCGCTGATAAAGTTTCATGGGAAAAAACAACCAGACACTCACTCACTAGCGGTCCTGGACACAAATACAGGGTGAGTAACAAAATAATATGCACACAAATTATCGATAACATACTAACAAACATGAAGGGAATGATGTGGTATAAACAGGAAAAAAGGGAAACGAGAGCTTCTGTGACTGCAAATAAAAGCAGATGACATGAGATAATCTGTAACCCAGAACAGGAGAAGAGAGCAAAAGCGTGAGGTACGGTGACAGTACCCCCTCTCTCAAGAACGGCCCCTGGCATTCCCTTAAGACTCACTATGGAACTAATGAAACTGATCAATGAGAGAGCGGTCCAGAATATCCAGAGCCGGAATCCAACATCTTTCCTGTGGACCATAACCTTTCCAGTCTACCCGATACTGATAACCTCTCTACCTCTCCTCCTCACATGCAGGGGCCAGTGCACTGTGTATGTGAGTGCACCCTCAACCAGTCTGGGAGGCAGAGGAGCAGAGGTTATGGGGTGCAGTGGGGAGAGAAGCATGGGTTTGATCTTAGACACCTTAAAAAAAAGACTGGATGAATGTTTTTAAACTTAGACTTAATTTGAGTTGAACCAACACTAGACTGAGCACCTTGATAATGGGAAATGGTCCAATGAAGTTAGGTGCCAATTTATGTGAGGGAAGTCTGAGAGGAATGTCTTTAGAAGACATGGCTAAAGCCATAAAGAATCCGATTCCATGGACCGAAGAATGTGAGAAGGCTTTCATAGATACAGTACATGTCCCTGTCGAAGGTCTGTAATGTTAAGCTAATTATTCATTAAAGGCAAAGCCATTCTCATACGTGACGTACTGTTCTTTGTGAGACTGAAATGTTGGTAATAGCTGTGTTTCCATCCAAAAATGAGAACTAAATTTATTTGCAAAACTGGAATATTGTATGAAAAATAAACAAATAAATCAGCGTTTCCATCCAATGAATCAAAGAGAACAAAATCGTCACTTCCTGATTAACTGGTTCCAAGTATCAACAGTAAAAACAGAATTTATTACGGTAGAAATAGTTACATGAATCTTTTGCTTATTTAATAAATGACTTTCCCCTCAGAGGACAATGAACATGTGGTGGCGTTTGAAGCCATGAGATGCAGAGAACAGACACTCTTGACACACTCCAGATGCTCTGGAGATCATTAATAATATAATAACATGAATACTGAAATGGTTCAGGTGTTTTAGAATGACCAAAACAACATTTTAGACGTTCTGCAGTGTGCTCAGCCTGCTGGTTTGTGCATTCACACACATTTTCATCATCATAGAATCTCTTATAGCCAACCTTTTTTAATGCACAAACTGGAATTTGTTCAGTAAAGGTGCTGGCGTACTTTACGTAAGTTTATCTTTTAGTTCCTGCCTGACTGCTTGAGTCCATAAAGTGATTATTTTCAATTTACACACCGGTTTCTCTTTTCTTTCAGATTTTACCTCATAACTAGGGCCAAACAGAATCTTGACCTTTTTTGCTATTTCTTCTGAGAATTTAGTATAAAAAATAAATAAAATAAAAACTGCGCATTTATGTGGTTTTATTTTGGGAGTATCTTAATTAAAAGCTTTTTACAAAGCAAATCTGTCTAGATCCACTTTTTTGGTAAACAAAGCAAGTCTCTTCTATAATATCTCTACTAAAAGACAAAAAATATTACTTTACACACTGTATTGTAGATAAATTAAATAAACATTTTGATATTAGTTAATAATATTACTGAAATTAATTAAAAAAACTGAAAAAATAAATAAATGTACACACATTTATACTAGTAAATAAATAGACTCAATGATGGGCTAAAATTCTGCGGATTTCTGTGCACACAGATTTTATGTGGGCTTACTCATAACCTTCTGGCGTTTTTAAAATGAAAATGAAAAAACGGCTCATTTTTCTTTTTCGTGGTGAAAAATGAAAAACCAAAATTCAAAAATTATTAGATTTTTTTATTTTGAATAGCAAAAAATAAAATCACCAGAAAACAAAAACGGTCAGTGTATGGTCCGGTTAGGTCCGTGTACGTTTTGTTCATTTGTTTTCCATTTTCAAACGGAATAAAGGAAATGGAGAAAACGGCCGTTTTACCGTTTTTCTTTTGCTCACGAGAAAACGAAAAAACGAAATTATGGCTGGATTTTCGTTTTTTTGGTTTAGGGTAGGAAAACGGATAAACAACTTTAAAATTAATTTTACACATGTAGACGGTGCTGAAACGCCCATTTTTACGTTCGCCCTCAAAATAAAAGCCTTACACGCAGGCTTTTATTTATTATTAATTAGCCTATATATAAACTAAGTTTACATATTCTATCATTTGAACCACACACAGTTGGCAGGCTTACATTCATTGCGTATGTATAAACTAAATAAAAACATAAATTAGCAGTATTCTTAGGGTGCTTTCACACCTGTGAATCGATTCAGTTGTTCCGAAACAGAGATTACAAATGTTACATTGTTGCTCTTTGCTCTTGGAGCGGTTCGCTTTCACACTGCAAAGTTTCTAATCGGACCAAAAGAGCTAAAACAAGTCACGTGCGAGTAAACTCTCCTTACATTGGTCAGAGTGTCAGGGTATATTTTGCGCTAAGCTGTCAGGAGAGGTGGTGGTTTGGTGGTGATTGACAGGGTGCGCGCACGTGACGTGTCTGAGGAGAGACACGGTGGGGAGGGGTGAGAAGGGTGCGCGACGATGCCTATTTGAGGACTGGGAGAGAGACGCGAGATTACCGGGAGATCTTCACTAGTTATTTACTTAAATGATTTAACTTAAACTTTAAACTTCAAATTTACAGAATATGGCAAATAAGTATTTATTAAATGGAGGTCAGGTGGTTATCTTAAATATAATTATTAAATAATTAAATATTATGACAATATAATTCAGTGGTGTATTGGAGAGTATGCAGGCAACCCGTGAAA